GCCTCTGCTGGATTCCGGTTCTTGCATGACCTCTCCGCACCAGCAACATCAGCCGGACTTGCACGTGAAACAAAAGCCAGGTTCTCCAAGGAGACTAAAATAAAACGTTACTAAAAAATCCAGTGGAAATATTTACTGTGGGGACTCCCTGGCAAAAACAGTGTGCTCAAGCACAGAGCCGAACGTGTGACTGTTGTGCCTGTCAAGGCTTCCTGTTCTGTTTGTTTTTCCTTCTGACTACCCTTGATTGCCAAGAAATGAATAAAACAACACTAGTGGCAGGGATGGAAGTGGCAGCGTTAAGGCATTTAGGACCCAGTCGAAAGAAAGGACACCACGGGAAAGCAAGCAGTATTATCACGACTGAAATACAAAAAGGCTTTTTCCTGGGATTCCTTCTCCATTGGGTGCTAAGCAGCTTTAGAAATTATACCCTAAATTTTTTTCAATCTCTTTCAAACGGTTATTCCAGTTATTTCACTATCAATAGCAGCATCCTCTTCGTAATCATCCACACCACACCACAGCCGCACACTGTGCTTTACCAACGGAAAGCAGAAGTTTAGCCCAGCACAAGGAGGCTCAGCTATTACTGATACTAAAGAGCTCACACTTCTTCAAAGGCTAAATTTAGCTCCTATTTCCTGGTCTAAAGAGCTTGTGGCCTCTGAGCCAGCTTCAGCAACGCCTTCTTTCACACCTGCTATCCCAATTGTAGGAAAGAAAAGAAGAAAAAAAAAAAATCTGTGAGTTAATTACTGCTCGTCAGGATCACGGACCACATCATTTGGCAGCAGAAAACACAGGCCACCAGCGTGTCTAGAAAACTGGGCATCCATGACTCCCACAGGGGACGATGAGAATCCCCAAATGCTGGCAATGAAACACGCCTGTCCTAAGACAGCTGTGCTTGTACAACAAACACCGAGTGGGAAGCACACGCACAAAGATCCCAGACCAGATTAAGCTGTTTGCTGATTGAAAACAAAATCCTCCTCTGAAACCCAGGTAGACACGTCCTGTTATCGTGATCCAATTTCCTAAGAGGAGCTGCATCACCTCCGGCACCGCTTGTCAGATTTCATGTGTTAAAATAGGTTGGGATGGGTCAGTATTGCTATGGGAGGACATCAGGATGATGTAAGGAAAGGTAATGGCACTCTTCCTTCTCTGACTCATTACTGTGCAGTAATAAGCCAGAAATAGACCTTGGTGACAGCAGACAGGGGGGATGAGAACTTGAACATGGACTCGGACTCTCTTGTGGCATTTGTCATGCCTAACACAGACAAATACACAAAGGATGCTCTAACACCACATGCTGACATCCTCCCACAAGGATTGCTGGAAATGAATTTTCCATCTGAAGGAAACGTCACTTGTTCAAAATTTGCTTCTGCTTCAAATCAGTAAAGCAGAAGTTAGAATTTTAAATCTTTCTGATAAATGAAAAAAATCAGGAAAGCCTGTGATTCAGAACTACTAAAATGTTTCATTTTATGTCAAACCATGTCAATAGTATCCCATAGTATTAAAGAATTTAAAATACAGCATGTGTAAAAACATATATCAGAATATAAAATTGAAATCAATCAGAAACATTAAGTAAATCAGAGGATAGTCAAAACGGTTTGTTTAAACATTTTTCAATATATAAAAACCTCATTTAGATGAGGTCTTTGGGGGAAAAGACCCCCAAAAACCCCTCAACAACAACAAAAACAGATTTCACCAAAAGTGCACTTCAGAAGAAACAGCACTGGGAACATGTTTTGGACTGTTTTATTTGTTCCACTATCATACACTTCCTGATACCAGCGTCGAACATTACATCAGAGCGTGCTGCTGCTCCAACTAGCAGGGCAGAATGACTTTATGAAAGATCAGAAGTCCCAATTTCCCATAAATGTATAGAAGTCTCTTGGAAATCTGGAAATAACTGAAGTATGCAAGGGCTAATTTCTCAGCATCCCCGTTTCCCAGCACCTCAGTGAACATGTCTTGGATACTTAGAATCTGTCACATACACTAGAGAATTTCTACTGAACTCTACTACTAGATAAATCCAGTTTTTGCATCTTGATTTCATAAGTACTCTAAACATAATTTTTAGTACTGTTTTGGATTTGTGAACACACATTACAACTGTATAAGGGAAATCTATTTTTATACTCCCTCCAATCTGGCCACATTTGATGAATTGAGACACTACCAAGCACCAAGTCATACTAAAAACATTTTTAAAGTTTGTATTTTCAATTACGTTGAAATTCCCAGAGAGTTATAGTGTAATCTGATCCAGTCTGCTCAGTCAGTCAGCAATAAACAGAACAGAATCCCAGCTCACTCCATTTTTTTTTATCGGTCCCTATGAGGTTATGTAAAGACATGGATCTTTTCAAAGAAAATACCAAAGTATCCACGCTAAGATGTTACTCTTCTCACAAACATAATTATTTGTGTGTTTGGTTTGTTGTGTTTTGGTTTTTTTTCTAAAAGAAACAAATAGCAGGCTGCTCCAGATTAAAGTCTGCACATCCTACCAGTTTCCTTCAAACTCAGCAGGGAGCTGTACGTTCAAACTTTATCTTGTTTCCTATTAAGCAGGCCTGTAAAGGCAGCTACTATAAATTACAGAATAAAGACTTAGAAATGAAATTTGGAAAGGCAGATGTAACTATTCTAGCTGTTGAAATAGATACTAACATAAATGCTAGCACCACCAAGGAAATCTATGGAAAAAATAGAGTCAAAATTATCACAGGAAAAAAATTAAAATCATCCAACTTGACGAATGAGTTTCTTTCTAATTAATTCAATTAACAGATTAGGTGAGGAAGATTTCTTCAATAATGAGGACCCTAATCTAGCTGTTGGGAAACCATGGCTCGTCTTCCTGCCTTTCCCAACGTCACGCATGAAGAGGCTTTTCAAACTACAGAATCAGGACTTAGGTGGACTTGCAGCAGCCTGTCTGAAATTCAAACTCCCTACACTCCCCGATAATGCCTAAAACCAGTAAGTCATTTTGAGCCACAGAAATTTGCTAAGCACTGAGCAGAGGCATGTATGCATGGTCCATGCGCAAATGGGACACACGCCTGTGCTTCACAGGCATGTGAAAACACCCAAAATGCCACCTCTGCACCACGAGAGTCCACAAAGTTAGACGTTCTCAGGCCATCCCAAACTTACTTAGCTGCCCCATTTTCGGATTAAAATGGGGGAATGGCTGCAGCCCCCTTGTGCAGCCCCAGTGAAGTAAATGAAAAGGAGGTCCAGAAATACACTCCACAAAGGATGTGGCCATAAATGTTTCCATGTACACCTCTAACCGTTTCAGAGTGACAGTGTATTTGCTAAGTCGAAAATCATCAAAACCTCATGATATTTTTATGACATTCCAAAACCATCCCAAACTCCAAGCACAGGAACCACGTGAAGGGCTGAAGTCAAGTGCTGTGTCTTCTGAGCTGCTGGTAAACAGCTTTGTGTATGGACAGACCCATCAGCATGTCTGAAATGAAGGCAAAGGAGAGCTGGACCTAGCTGGACCTAATATTAGCATGACCTAGTGTTAGTCGTATCGGCTTCCCAACTCAGAGTCAACTTTGCTCTTCCACATTTCTACAGAAGTCTAGAGTATGGAAAACACAGACCAGCTTGGCACCTAGTCTTGGGTTACTGAATGATGCCACTCGTGTTATTTTTCTCATGATCTGCAGGTAGAGTCATTTCAGAAGAGCTTTAACTAAACCCTCCCCGGATACAGATGGTGTCACATACTTTGTGGCCCTACATGGGCTTCAGCAAACAGTTCACCACCAAGAAATAACAAAATGCTGGACTGCACATGCAATGTGTACCATGATTCCCTAGGACAAAAGATCTGGCAGACATGGTCATTACAGTCACTAGTGTATCATTCATAATGTTCCCATCTATTGGACTACATTTTGTGCAAAAGTGGCACAGTTAAATTAAGTGTGTGTGTGTACACATCCAAATACACAAGCTTGATTAGGATCAATCCTTTGAAGTTGTTCATACTTTTTCAGGAAAAAAATATCCTTTTTAATTTTTCATGAGTTATCCGGAGTTTAAAATTTCCTCACATTTTCTGCAGAAGTTGCTCACCCAGTCTGGTTGCAGTCCTACTTGCACGAAATGCGTATACTCAATAGTCATGGCTGTATATTCAACTGAAAAAGTAAATTCCCAAAGGGTAACAGGCAACAAACTGTCTTTGAAACAATGTTGAGAACTGTGCTAAGAGTTAAGTTGGAGTCAATTCAGTCTTTTTAAGCTATGGCTGTTCAAAGTTCTTTGGGGGCCAAGCAGCTGGGTTTTCAGTTGCTTTTCTTTTCCTACTTTAAAGTAGTTTCAAAGCTCAGTGCTGTGGAATGCTCTTCTGTCACTAAAACTTGCAATGACCTAAGGAGTCCTACAAAGCCTCACAAGTGGATGAGGAAATCAGGAATAACGTAAATGCAGTATCTTCTGTTTGAAAACAGCACTTAGAGAACTAGCCTATGTAGATATCCATATAAATACACTGAAATCTTCCAGTGAAGATCGAATATCTTTTTTAAAAAAAAAGCATCTGTCAGTTCCAGTGCCAGTTACGGGTTTTCTGTATGAACTGAAGGATGAAATTTTTGACTTGTTTCAGGCAGGAATAGGACTACATGTGAAAATACAATTGTTCCAGGCCCACATCAATGTGTCTTTCCACAGAGCACTGTTTTGATACTCTGTGGAAGCTTCTTGCTCAGCAAGAAGAGTCAATATCCTTGTGGCTCAAAATTTCCATTCTGACAGTCATTAAGAGTTTCAGAGCTATCACCCTGAGCAAATTTTATGAGGTTAGATAATTTGACAGCATTGACTTCTCTGCCTTTTCTGAGTCCATTTAATTGAGATTTCATGCATAGAAAACAGAAGTTAAAGGAGACTCATAGTAAGAGAGAAAGAAAATTGTACTTCTGTGTTTACTGTACCTGCAGTAAGACAGTACCCCCTGGGATTGTGAGCTGTAAACAGTACTTAGGGGCATTCTCCCAGGAGAGCAGTTGAACATCTTCAATAGCACTGTAGGAAATGGAGTTTTCCATGTACCCAGTTGGCTGCAAGAAAACAAAGGAGAGAAAAAAGGTTTACTTACTCATCAGAAGTTTCACAATTTCAAAGTAAGAACAGCACTATCAAAATTACTCTTGGTTTTGAAAATACCTGAAAAATATCTAATTGAAAAACAAAATTCCTACACAGGCCATTCAACAGAGAGATCCATTCAGCCACCTTCCTCCAACTCGTTCAAGTGTTAAGATTACTCACGTAAAAACAAAAGCAGGCCAGACTTAGGTGCCTGAAATACAAAAATGTCAAACTGCATTTGTTCTGAGCCCAAAATCAATGGAACCTACTTTCAAGTTGAACTGAGCTACGAAGGGGTCTGGGCCATGCATGTGCTATCAATGTATGAAGAATCATCTCAATCATGCAGACGGACTGAAGGGGTCTGGGCCATGCATGTGCTATGAAGAATCATCTCAATCATGCAGACGGACCAGCAGTGTACTATATTAAGGTAGTTTTATTCCATGCATTCTTGTTCTTCTCCCTGGCTGCAAGGTTGATCAAACACCTCACCAAAATCCACACTGCTACATTTGACAGTGGTTCTCGGAGCTCCAAGATGCAGCCCTCAGCTTTCAGACCGGCTCATCTCAGCCTATGCAGAAGTACTAGTTTCCTGCACGGATTGCTGATGCCCAGTTTAAAGTGAAAGTCACAATCAAAACATAAATAAGTAACTGTGCTTTGAAATTACCTGTACAACATGATTTGATAGTAGTCAGGAAACAAACTTAAACATGAAAATCCTTATTAGTATTGCCATAATTCTTAGGCATTACAGAAGTACAATTATATCTGAGATAAGTTGAAATATAGATTTATATATGCAAGCATGCATAAAATTATGTCCTAAATATGAGTAAATATACAGTTATAGCTGTGTATCTATTGACTATGCGTACACATCCCACACTTTATGCAGGTCTTCATGATTTTTAAGTAATTTGAGTATTTAACAGAGGTCCTCAACAATATCATTTACTTCACTTCCCTATAGAGTAAGCCAACTGATCCATATTGCTACGTCAGAGAAACTATTTTCACACAATAATGATTAATCCCACCACATGGATAAATCCTTGGGCTGGCCATGTCTTACAAGAGAATAGAGCTCATTACATTTATGAATTATTTTCTCTCTATTACTGGTTTACATACAACTTAAACTTCTCAAACTTACTCCCACTGTGCCCAATACATAAGTTATTTTTAACTGACAGTCTTGAAATAAAGAAGGCAAGGGAGAAACCACATCTATTTCAGGGCCAAACAGGGCCAACTCTTAAAATCACAACACAGGATTCCTGGGGGCGAGTGCGAAATAAGCAAATTGCACTGGGAACGTCTCTACGTCTAATTGGTACAACTTTCTTCCGTAAGTTAAGTAGGTGGTGCATCTGGAAAGCCTACTGCGAAGTTATACACTTCATACATGTTCACAAGGCCATAAATGTCATCCGCCAAAACGCAATGACAGGTCACCCACCTTTGCTGCTACAAAAAGTCAGCTGTCTTTTCAGCAAGAAAAACCCAGCAAGCCAGGGAATTGAACTTTAATATCTTTTTCAGTAACATTTGTTGCGGCAGCGCTCGTTTGCCCGAGCTGAAAACAATTTTCGCTGTCTCTTTTAACGAAAACCTTGTTATGCAGGAAGTATGATAAACTTCTGCTTATTCATTTACCCACAATATTGTTCTACATTAGCGACTGGAATCCCAGTGGCTTAACGCCGATACTGTACGTCATGCATTGCCTACTGGAGAGTAATTATCTCGTTCTCACAGGAAGCCAAAGGCCCAAGATCCTTCAGTAATCAGCATTACAACACTCAGGGAAAAACATGAAAACAGCCAGCATAAAATCTAGTATGCTCAGGAGGCAAAGTTATCAAAAAACGTGCTCTGAAAGACTGCAGAAGGGAGAAATCCAGAACCAGCCGATGCAAATATAAAATGAAATGAATCAAAGCAATTTAAATTTCTCTCTTAAGAAGGTGCTGACTGCCCTTAATACCCTCCATTAACTTCAAAGAGGATTTGAAGAATTCTCACAGATTCTGTTCCCAAGAGAAGCTTCTTCTATACGTTAAACTTTCCATTTAAACAGCATTAAAGATGACTGATCTAGTTCAACCACAGCTCGGTAGCCATACCCAAGTGACTTTATCCCAGGCATAAACAACTTCTCACAGGACAGTCCTTTTCGTTATGGAGAATGAAGGAACAGAGAGTTCTGCAGTTTGTAAAGGATGGGAAGACTACCTCCTAAACTGTAACATGGAATTACAGATGGTTAATCTCTCCAAACGAAAGTGTTACACCAATGAGCATACAATCCCACTGTCATACTTTCTATCGAGCCATACCACACACAAAGCTTTACTACAGTTGTTTGCTGTCTTACTCAAAAATGAACAGCCCAAATCTACTTTAATCGCTATAAGGAACGTCATACGCATTGTTTCTGTTTTAATGAAAAACACCATGTTCTAGGAAGTGAAATATTTTCAGTTCTGAAAACATCTGCAGCTTCACCTCTGTTTTGCAATCGAAAGAGTCTAAAGCGAAGCAATTTATGGCTCTATAGAGCTCCTTGAAATGGTACTTCTAGATGCTGTCAAACCCTGATGACCATGCTTCCAGAGAAACGGTCTGAAGAAGCACTGGAACAGAGCTGTCCTCAGACCCGAGGCCTTCCCAGAACTCACGAGGCCACGCCGTTAGAGGCGAAGGTCAGTCCCACACAAAGGTGTCCTTTCCCTAATCCCTGCGCACACACCGATGCGAGGATGAGGACGGAGCGGTGTTCCCCGGCTGTGTTTTCTCAAGACGGAGCACAGTTCAGCCGTTTATCAGGAAATGGCCTGAGGTAAAACCACAGCCTGAGTCACCGGTTCCTCTTAAAACACGGGCTATTTTGACATTCAGGTACGCGAACGTCGATCACGGTGAATCATTGTGGTCGACAAATAAGCAGTGCGAGTGCAGCACGCTCTCGTGTTCCGGCCCGTCTTGCTTGCACGTACCCCCAGAAGCTGCATCTTCACCCCCAGGTCACACCATGGGAAATTCAAATTAGAACAAGACGCGAGACCAGAAACATGGATTCAGAGATTTGACAATACCTAAAATGAGACCGATCCGCAGTGGGTCACCACAAAGCATCTGGCATCGACACTAGCCTTAAGCACCATTCCCATCTCCATCCGCTCACTTTGCCTCTGTCCATACAAATATTTGTCTGGCCACGGTGTCAAGCAGATCAGGGAACCCATCCAGCTTTTGCCAGATTACTTTTTAGCTCTTTCAGCCCCGTTTCTAACACGAAACAGACACTAGTGTGTTAATGTAACTTAGGAGGAAGCATATCATTGGGAAGGGAGTGAGAAGTAAGGATGTGAATATTTCAGTCTAATTCATCAAGTTTGCTTGAAAATGCCTTTATTTAAGCAAATAATAATTCTTATTTTTATAGCTGTCATTTTTGAAAGGAGATTTATATTTCTTGGCAAAGTCTGAAACCTATCAAACGAAGGAAGATAATGCACTCTTCTCATTCACTCTACAAAATTAATCCTGACTTAGGAAACTTTGGCCAGAGAATCTACACATGTCAGCTTACAGATTTACAGTCACAGTTTTAACTTCTGGCTGTTTGCTGTTGAACATGTTCTGAAAAACTGTAAGAGACTCATAAACGAAAATGAAATTTATTACAACAAACAAAAACCTTAAGTCAAGGAAACGTTTTTCACTTCACATTAGCCTTTAGCCTCCTAATGAAACATGCAACTGCTCCATTGGGAAATCAGGTATGTTTTAACCTCACTGAGAACTTTGTCTTTTTTAAATTCCATAAAGATTTATTAATCATATAGCTTTGAAATAACTCTCTACCAGAATAGCCACACACCAAAATCTACTATAAATCAAATCTTAGGGGAATCCAGTGCTCCCAAAACTGGAAGAACATGTAAGCTCACACGTAAGGCTAGTTTTCTCTTAGCGTTTCTGGGAAAAGAAGGCAGCAGCAGACTACTCAATAATGCAAAAATCTGCCCGCTTGTTTCCATGGGAAATTCTAAAAGGGAAAGAATAAACATGACGTCCATTGTTAATATGAGGCCTGTATGCACTTAGTCATATAATAATGTACTAAATCTTCAGCTGCATATTTTCCAAAGAAAGTGTCTAGAAAAGACGGATTCTACAAATAGAGACAGCTATTTGCATTAAAACATATTTAGACTGACAACTCCCACCAACACAATAACAATGAAGAATGATTTTCCCAATTAAATACTCCAGATGGTGAGGGAAAACGGGGCTATTCCAGACCCTTGCTGTCAGGTGCTTCTTCCTCTCTTGGTGGCTCTTAAGAATGAGCCATACTGCTGTAGCCCAGGACGACGAGCATACTGTATTACCTATAAGTTCTCCACATTCAAATAAGATTCAGTCCTGCTG